CTGTGGATCTCGTGGTGGCGGATGAGCTGGGATAGGGTGGAAGACAGGCATCAGCCGCTCCCCGATTTCGACACGCCAGCCTGGCGCCCACGCTGCTTCACCGGAAGCACGTGGAACTAAGGTTTCACGAGGATTTTCCTGTCGTAACCGGTCCCTACTCGGTTCTTGGACGACAAGTAGGCGCAGTTGAGGAGCACGGCCAGTGGGGCCTACCACTCTCGTCGTCGTCCCGGGCAGCGGGTGAAGAAGGCAAAATCGCCCGGTTCCAACTGGTTGCGCGCACCGATTTTGGCTGGAAATAATGATTTGGTTTCTGCAGAAGTCAAGGGTATTCTAGCGGGGATTATTAGAGGAGCCGGCTAGCAGTGATTTTTGAGGAATTCGCGAAAAACCCACGTCATCGGCCCCAGAAACGCGTGCTCTTCCCCGGGTCATCTGGGGATTTTTGATTTTGGCCGTTGTCATGCCTTTCTCGTCCCTTTAAGACAAAGAATATTCATAAAAATTACCCTTACCCGCGTTGCCCGGGATGGCGGCCAAGTCGAACATGGTCGGGTAGAAAGTGGCAAAAATTCAGGGTTTTTAGAAGTGATTTCAGTGCTGGATGCTAATCAGGAAGTTAAATGATTTCTGCTAGCCTGCCCTCTCCTCTTCCACAACAATCTCTGCTAGCCTGCCCTCTCCTCTTTCTCAACAATCTCTGCTAGCCTGCCCTCTCCTCTTCCTCAACAATCTCTGCTAGCCTGCCCTCTCCTCTTCCACAACAATCTCTGCTAGCCTGCCCTCTCCTCTTCCACAACAATCTCTGCTAGCCTGCCCTCTCCTCTTCCTCAACAATCTCTGCTAGCCTGCCCTCTCCTCTTCCGCAACAATCTCTGCTAGCCTGCCCTCTCCTCTTCCACAACAATCTCTGCTAGCCTACCCTCTCCTCTTCCTCAACAATCTCTGCTAGCCTGCCCTCTCCTCTTCCACAACAATCTCTGCTAGCCTGCCCTCTCCTCTTTCTCAACAATCTCTGCTAGCCTGCCCTCTCCTCTTCCTCAACAATATCTGCTAGCCTGCCCTCTCCTCTTCCTCAACAACCTCTGCTAGCCTGCCCTCTCCTCTTCCTCAACAATCTCTGCTAGCCTGCCCTCTCCACTTCCTCAACAATCTCTGCTAGCCTGCCCTCTCCTCTTCCTCAACAATCTCTGCTAGCCTGCCCTCTCCTCTTTCTCAACAATCTCTGCTAGCCTCCCGTTTCAGGAGAACACCACCGAGGCAGAAAACTCACAATCTGGATCCTTCTCACACTGCAGTCCGGCCATCTATCAATGCAGCCAGGCCGGCTTGGATGAACTTCCTAATCGAACGGTCTAATCCTAGAAAAAATTTGTCTTCAATGGTCCTTTAAAATGGAAAAATTTAGTTTTTAGGGAGCCGAGGACACGGCGCTGTTTTGCAACTCAAGCGGACCGTGGTTGAATGAAAGGGTAGGGCAGGCTTCCAGGGATTCTTGAGGTCCTTCAGAACCTATGCCATTTCTACTACACTGCCCGCATCAACACGCGATGCGTCGACGTCGACAAGTGCAATATGGTGGCCTTCCGATGTCCGAAAGCAAGGATCGAGTTGACGCTGGCAGCCATAGGAGGTACGATGGCTTCTACGGCCCTTGAAAGCACTTCTAGCCCTGTTGCTCCTCGTCGCCTCTTCGAGCCTGCTCATCTACCGGGTGTTGGTGCTGATCTATCCGCGAATGGCATATACCGGCACGGCCAACATCGCCAAGGTGAGTGCTGTGGAAGTCTAAGCCTAAGCCTAAACCTAAGCCTAAGCCTAAGCCTAAGCCTAAGCCTAAGCCTAAGCCTAAGCCTAAGCTTAACCCCGTTTCAGCGCGAGCAGTTGAGCCTCCGCATCCAGCAGGCCTCCTTCAAGCAGGGCCATCGTAACCCGGGATTTTCCGGAGATGAACCGGCAACCGGCAAACCCCACGCGGATCCGGACGAGGGGCAGTACGTCGAGATACGGCTTGACGATGGGCCAGCGGAATCCGAGCGTCGATAGGAAACTGAAACATCATTCGTCGTCGTCTTCTTCTTTTTTTGCTGATAAATTTTGCCTACTACATAGCATTTAAATTTGCATAAAATAATTTACACACAGTTCGCACTTCAAAATTCAGATCTCGACGCCCGCGCGACCCGAAATGGTGCGCGTTGGAAAGCTGCCGATGCCGAAGCGGAAGAGCCTCCTCGGCTTCTTTCAAAAGGTAGGAATGGGCGATCTAGCAGAGACCATCTTGGAATTCAGCCAAACACGATATCCGAGGCGCCGGAAGTGAGTGTTGCTCGCGTCACGGCCTCTGTGGAATGTCTGGAGCAGCTCGGCGCCCCGGATCCCGAGCTTGTCGTCAAGGCAAGCTAGCAGAGATTGCTCAGGAAGAGGAGATGGCAGGCTAGCAGAGATTGTTGGGGAAGAGGAGTAGGCAGGCTACAGAAGGATTGTTGAGAAGAGCAGAGGTCAGGCTAGCAGAGATTGTTGAGGAAGAGGAGAGGGCAGGCTAGCAGAGATCATTTTCTGTTTCCAGGAGGGCGATCTCTACAAGTGGGCCAACTACATCAAGGGCTACCGTCGGCGCCGCTTTGCTCTGGACGCCCAGGGCTTCCTCTCCTACTACAAGTACAAGTCGGGGATCTCGATTTTTTTTCCTTCAGCGTCCCTTTAAAACAGGGATGACCAGCTGGAGAAGAGCTGTCATGGGAAGATTGACCTTCGCGAGGCGCGCGTCACCATTGATGGGGTACGAGTTCTCGAATGATCGCTGCTAGCTTGCCCTCTCCTCTTCCTCAACAATCTCTTCTAGCCACCCCCCTTTCAGAGTTCCGGCGGCTTCGTCGTCGCGTCGGCGGGCCAAATGTTCCACCTTAAGGCGCCGAGCCCGAGCCTGCGCGACGAATGGGTGGCCGCTCTCAACCTGGCCCGCCATCGCACGACTCGTGGCCCAAATGGTTTTATCTGGCCTGCCCTTGTCAACCTTGGCCTTAGAAGAGGCCGGTAGGGCGTCGAATTCCACTTCCGGCGAGTCCTACTACGATGCGGACGGGGCGGAAGCGTCGCGGCAGCCGCAAGGGCTCGCGCAGGCGTTGCACAGACTCGCTGGGAGCCGACAGCAGCTTGGTGCGTTATTGTGATTCTGAGATCTAGCAGAGATTCTTGGGGAGCTGGAATTTTTGAGTTCCTCAAGAATCTCTGCTGGATGGCCCACCCCGTCAATACCCAGCCATTAATCCCATTTCAGAAACCCGCCTCGACGCCCTCAAAAAACTACAGCCTGGTCCCGGCCTCGCTCAAGCTGTTGCTGAACTCAGGGTGCGACTCTGGGCAGCTAACAGAGACCATTTGAGTATTTAGACAGCATCCGAGATGGTGTTGAAGAATGCGGCCGAAGTGGGGACCACGGCCGGCTGGGAGGTCGATCATTTGAGGAGCCTGGTTCAGGTAGCAACTAGGAGCTACGAGAATTTCGCAATCGTCTTGGCTAGCTTGCCGCAGATCGGGAAGTCTGAAGGCAAGCTAGCAGAGAATCTTCGGGAATCCGAGTTTTCAGGGAGAGCGCCGACAACGCGACCGCCTCGACGAGCAGATCCTGGCGCTCGCCCAGCAGCAGAACACGCTCGAACTGATCGCCAAGCGCTCCAACAACCCGAACGGTGGGCCAACGCATTAATGACTATTTGATTCCTCAACAATCTCTGCTAGCCTGCCCGCTCCTCGTCCTCAACAATCCTCCCGTTTACTAGCTGCTAGCATACTCCCATTTAGTGACCGACCTCGAGGAGTTCTACGACGCCGAGGAGGAGTTCATCAAGAGGTGATTGGCCTTTTAAAGGGCTGTTGAAGCCATTTTTCAGCACCCCTCGACGCCGCGATGAAGATCTGGTGATAGCCGGCGGATCTCCCGAGGCCTCGACCTCGCAAATGGCCCGCTTGAAGACGTCGTTTGAGGTGGGTGGGCTAGCAGGGATTCTTGGGCAATGGTAGACAATTCCAGGCATCCCGTAAATTCCCAGCGACGACGGCTCGTCCAACGCTCCCACGCCGCCGCGACCAGATCCCGGAACGCCCGAAAGCGTCCCTCAGCCTTTGGAGCATCCTGAAGAACTCGATTGGGAAAGATTTGAGCCGCATCCCGATGCCGGTAGCTAATATTTCACTTCCTCAAGGATCTCTGCTAGCCTGCCCGAAAACAACGAGTTCCAGGTGAACTTCTCGGAGCCGCTGTCGATGCTGCAGCGCGTCACCGAGGACCTGGAGTACGCGCATTTGCTCGATACGGCCGCCTCCGCGATGAACCCGTCGCTGCAGATGTGCCATGTTGCTGCGTTCGCCGTTAGCAGGTTGGGCAGGCTAGCAGCGATCATTTGAACCTCCAGCTACGCCACCACCGGCTCCCGCACGACGAAGCCGTTCAACCCGATGCTCGGCGAGACGTACGAGTGCGACCGGGTGGCGGAGTACGGGTGGCGGAGCCTGACGGAGCAGGTGTCCCACCACCCGCCCGGCGCTGCTCACTACGTCGAGGGGCGCGGCTGGAAGCTGTACCAGCTCTTCACGATGACGTCCCTCTTCCGGTAAGCGTTTTAAAGGGCCGCGCAAGGAAAAACTTTCTTTAGCGGAAAATACCTGAGCCTGGTCCCCGTCGGGCGTACACACATCATCTTCGACGCCACTGGACATCACTATACCTTGACGAAGGTGGGGTAGCCGACGTGAATTCCTCAAGAATCTCTGCTAGGTGACCACCACGGTGCACAACATCATCGTGGGCAAGTTGTGGATCGACAACCACGGCGAGATGGAGATTGTCAACCACACGACCGGGCACAGATGTTCCCTGAAGTTTCACCCCTACTCCTACTTCACCAGGGAACCCCAGCGCCAGGTAGGTTTCCCCCAAAAATCTCTGCTAGCCTGCCCATGCCTAGGTCCACGGCGAGGTCGTCGACAAGGACCGTGTTGCGCAACATCTCCTCTCTGGTCACTGGAACTCGGAGATGCGGATGGCGCCGCCAGGCGCGACGCCCGACTCCGCGACAACCCTCTGGACGGCCGACCCGCCGATGTACGGCAGCGTAAAGGGTCTCTGCTAGCATGCCTGGGTCGAATTTAGGATAAGCTTGAGTTTAAGTCTAAGCTAAGCCTGAGCCCAAGCCTAAGCCTAAGACTAAGCTTAAGCCTCGGCAAAACCCTGTCTCCAGGCCCAACGCCGACAAGACCTACGGCTTCACCAAGTTCGCCGTCCAGCTGAACGAGCCCGAGCCGGGCGTCGCCCCCACCGACAGTCGCCTCAGACCCGACCAACGGCTGATGGAGGCCGGCCAGGCAGGCTTGCACTGGAAATTGGGGAATTCTGTGTTCAGTGGGACGCCGCCAACGCGAAGAAGGTCGAGATCGAGGAGAAGCAGCGGGTTCGGCGACGCCAGGCCGAGGTGGAGGCGGCGCGGGTGGCGAAGGAAGGTTAGAGGATTTTGGAGGGTTCCTAAATGGTCTTTGCTAGCTTGCCCAGACGTGTAAGTTCCAGGTAAAGAGGTGCCGGAGGTGAAGCCGCTCTGGTTCGATAAGTTGCTTGATCCGGACACGAAGCTCCCGGTTTATATGTGAGTTTTTGGGGTGAGCAAGCTAGCAGAGATTGTTGAGGAAGAGGAGAGACCAGGCTAGCAGAGATCATTTGCGCCCTTTTCAGCTCGAACGGCGACTACTGGAAGTGCAAAGATCGCCAGGACTGGAGCCGCTGCCCCGACCTCTTTTAGAAGCCTTCAAATCCCATTCCATTAACCCTCCATGGCTGTGTGTTTTTATTTGAAAATCGCGTGAATTGTATATCATTAATGCCTACATGTGCCTGTGCTCTTTTCCTTGCTTACTGTGAATAAATGAACTTGCTTTGCGCTTGGTGGTCTCCAGCACCGGTGGTTTCGAACATTGAATCTCCACGCTCGAGCCAGCCCTCGCCAGAATTTCGCCCTGGACTCATTCAAACCGGCTTGAAACGCTGATTCCGATCTACTAACTGGCATAGCCGTAGCGTCGCGTATGTGGTCGCTATGATTTGTTGAAGTTGCAACTAGGCACCGCACCACCCCCCCATTCGCCCGTACCTTCCAAGGCTTTCCAACGAAGAGTATTCCGACGGAGTTTTGCATGCAGATTCCGAAAATCATAGTCTAAACGGTTCGCCCTGGGGTATTACATGCTAGCATGGATTCTTTGCGGCATACGGATGGGCCCAAATTTATTGGCGTGAACACCCACACGCAAGAGAACGAAAAGCACAAAAAACAGATGCGCACAATGATCGTTAGTCGTGGGGTTGGGTGGTGATGATCGCAGCGCCGCGACGTCGTCAACCCGGTTATCCGTCGCCCAGTGGCACGCGCAGCCGCTTGTAGGAGGGCAGACCGGGCTGCGGGCGGAACAGCTCGAGGAAGTCGCCCTGGGCGTTTCATGTTCTGACCGCTCCTGAATACCTCTACCTTGAAGTACATAACGGTGGGGATGGTGATGCAGGCGACGATGGCGCCGAGGACGGGCGGCGTCAGCAAGTAGTACAGTACCGGATTTTCGGCCATCTAAATTTCCGCAACCCCCTCAGCAGTCGCTGCTAGCCTGCCCTACCCATTTGAACGGCATGTGATCGACGGGCACGTTGAAGAGGGTGCCGAGGAGAAGCTGGAAAATGGATTTTAAAGACCCATTCAAGGTTTTTTTTCCTTGAGTACAAGAAGAAGCCACTGAAGTTCTTTAATAGCCAATAAATTCTAAGCCTAACCCCAAGCCAAGCCAAGCCCAAGCCCAAGCCTAAGCATCAATCAACCGGCGTACCGCAGTAAGGGCGGGCACGATATGGGCGTAGAGCCAGTTGGAGTGTTGCGTTAGCTGGTCCCACAACCATTCGCGCCACCCGTTCGGGATGCCGGTCATCACCGTGATGTCGTAGTAGACTTGGGACATGCCTGGAGCGGTAATCCCTCAAATAATCACTGCCAGCTCCCATCTTACCGTAGCACGTGACGAAGAGCGTCAGATGCGCGCCGAGGATCATGATCGTCAACACGGAACGGGCCGACGAGAACCAGGTAAACAGTTGGTCGTAATTCTAAATGATGACCGGTTTACCGTACCCCCTAAGGAAACAGTACCTCAAAGAAGAAGAACAGCGAGATCACCGTCGAGACGATGGCCATCACGATCGAGGCATGCCAGCGTTTTTTCGTGTCGAGGAGGGTACGGACGAATTGATGTTGACACATGGCGATACCTGGCAAAAAGGCTTATGCTTAGGAAAGAGCAGGCTAGTAGAGATCAACGAGGAAATGAGAAACTAACTCATAGCTGCTGAGCATCACCAGAAAGACGAAGGCCGGTGGGCGAGGATGAAGGACTGGCTGCAGTAGTAGGAGAAAGCCTGGACGGCCGCCCATGCTTCACGACGTGGACTAATGCGCTACAGGAAGTCGACGTAGGCCCGGTAAACGTACTCTGTCTGTCAAAGTCGCACGGGTCCAAGTTGCCGACCGTCACCGCAGCCATCACGACCATCAGACCTGGAAAAAAGAGACCTCTAATGCTTGCTGCTAGCCTGCTCTCTCCCCTAATGGTCATGCTTAGGCTCATGCTCCCCTAAAACCGCTAGAAAAACCCGCCATCCATGTAGTAGGTGCAGCACAGCGAGAACAGCACGTCACAGAGCGTCGCCAGCAGCACCCACTAGGGAAATTGGTGTAAATGGGTAAAAAACGTAAGCGAAGCTTGAGCCTAAGCCGAAGCATAAGCCTAAACCCAAGCCAAGGCTGAGCCGAAGCCAAGCTTATGCCTGAGCCTACGCCTACGCCTTTGAGTACCTTGATAGTAAAGTCGTCCTGTCTCGCGTAGGCGCCGGCGGCCGGTATTGTGGCCTGACCCAGCGACTGGGATCGGATCGACAGCATCAGGGCTTGTTGCCATACCTTAAAACTTCTTGTTCCTCAACGACCCTTCGCTAGCTCACCCCACCGTCCACCGCAGCAGCGTCGCATCTAGCGCGGCTGACAAAGCAGTATGTTCTGCGCGGCGACGGTGGTATATCCGCCGGGATATTGCAGTACGAACTGGATCTGAGGTGGTACTGTAAGAATTACACAAAATAGCAACCGTCAACACCATCAGCAGCATGGCCATCAGCAGCTGGATGCACATGGCAAAGTAGGCTGAAATTACTGAGGTTTTTGGTGCGGAAGTCCTGACAATAGGCGCGAATCGACATGACCAACAGCCCAGCCACCAGACATGTGATCAGCGTCGCGACGGCGAAGCCCTGGAAAGAGGGCAGGCTAGCGGAGATTGTTGAGGAAGAGGAGAGGGCAGGCTAGCAGAGATTGTTGAAAACGTGCATGGGGCAGGTCAGCAGAGATTATTTAGGAGCTACCAACCATCCAGTTGAAGCTGCCAAAGTCGGAGATGTTGGTGGACACCTTCGTGACGTTGTTG